CGAAGGCATAGCATGTTTTTATTTTCCTTTTATTTTCATGCATCCAGCTCATAATTGTGCTAGTTTGCAGACACCGGAAGGTGGAAAACACTGCATTAGTTTATTATTTGCATACGGTCGCAGAAGGGTGCTTGAGAAAGCAAACATGTCTTGTAAACTCTTTTCTTGTCTGCCAAGGTAGAACTAGGTTCATCGTGAAAAAAGTGCCTTTCTTTTCCATCTTTGAGGTTGGGGACAAGAATTTAGGAGTTGTCAAATGAATGGGGTTTGAGTTTGGGCCAAGGTGTTCTGCCTCTTTTTTGACTTTATTAATATGTGCTAAAGAAACATCGCCAACTTCACTTGTATTATATGTTCTGCATTGCAATGTTGTTTTATATTCTAAACATGCAGATTTTGAAAAGGCACGAGATCATTATGTCAAAGAATAGTCAATGTTGAGCAAAGACTTGTAATGAAAACAGAGGTGGGGTGGTTGGCCTTGACGGAAACTTCCTGGTTGAAAATGGTTTCATGAAATGAGAATGATACATTTTCAAGCGCTGCTTTTTAGATGTTGAAATTTCAAGATTCCCCTTAAATTGTGCATGATATATGGAGCATCATGTCAAGGAGTTGTTAGGACAACCTAATTTAGGTCATGTTTCATTTTCACAAAGATTGAGATTTAACTTTTTGACTATGAGAATAACAAACTAATACTAGTTTATTAAGGCTTCAAATTTCTTTGGTCACAAATATGGTAATATCTAGAGATACATAAATACAATCATATATATGTGAACGTAGGAGGGAGTCACTGCCAACTAAATTTTATATTACAATTATATAAAATTGGTTAAATTCTTAATTTACTGCCAACTAATATAAACTCTTGATTTGGTTTTGAACTAAAAAAATTTTTGATTTGGTCCATATTGTTTACCAATTTGACTTTAAGTTGGTTCTTCCATACAAAAGCAAATGACGTATTTTATTATTAATGTGACATGTGACAGTTAAGTAATAGTTTTTTACCTTTAAATAATTAATGCATCAGTTATTTTTAACAAAAGGACCAATTTAGTGCCAAATTGATAAGCAGTAGGACCAAATTAAGGGTCTATATAATAGTTGAGGGACCAAATCTAAGATTTTTTTAGTTGAACAACCAAATGGAGCGTCCATCCAATAGTTGAGGGGCCAAATTAGGGGTTTAACTTATAAAATTTTAATTATTTATTTTTTACTTTTAATAATTGAAATTTATTTACATTTATTAAAGATAATTATTTTTTTCACTTTAAAAATCCTAACAAATCTCAACCATTAAAAGTGGAGAAATAAATTATTAAAATTTTTATAAGTGTAATATGTAAAACCTATTGTGTAAGACAATCTTCACTTTTATATACATATTAATCATTAAAAATGAAAAAATAAATAGTTAGAATTTTATGAAAGTATAATATGTAAAATTTATATGTAAGGTTATTTCTTTTATATATATATGTATATTTTTCATAAATCATGCTTTTAATATCTTAAGTACGTCAACGACTTAAGTAACTTCATGGTTATCTCCTTCTACTTGAAGTAAGAAATTCTGAATTTGAATCGCATAGCATGTGAGTGGGTGTGATAAGAGATAAGAAATGATTGTCTCATATTGTACAACTAAAATTAAAAAAAAAAAAAAAAAACCATCATCCTAAGTACATTGATTCCAAATTTCCCTTTAGTGTTCTACTTTGATTTCAGCTCATGGTGTTTTCTTAAGCTAGATCTGAGAGAGGATGAGGGGTAAAAAGAGGAAGAAGAAACAACTTTCTGTCATAAGTTAGTGAAGGGGTGTTTTTCCAGTTGCGGCATCAAAGGAGATCAAGCTAATTGAGTTTAGAGCGCTAAATTAATTTTCTTAAATACACTAAATAAGTGTAAAGGGTGAGCTTGAATGCACCAGATAAATGTACCATAAAATTATCAAGAGAGAAAATTAATTATATGTTAGTTTAAATGGAAAGATGTCCGTTCTCTTTAAATAAGATCTCAAATTTGAGTTTTGTGAATGAAAAAATAGGTGTCGAGAGAACTCCTCTTATGAGGTCCGATGCTATTTGATTCTAAATTAATTGAGATTTAATAAGATTACCGAATACCACAAAATTAATATATATAAAAAAAAAAGATAAACGTAAATCAAAAAAATTTTGACTGTAAATATAAAAAAAAATTAAAAATCAAAACTAGCCCATAAAACTAGGAAATGGTGCACCACCAATGATCCAAAGGTAAAACCAAAGCCCAATCTCAATATAGGCATGAAGATCAACGTGTTATGAACCTTAAAAACCTCAGCCCAATCGGGATCCACAATGAATGAACCCATGACAAGAATAGTTTCTAAACGTTTTTTTTTTTTTTTTAGCCCTACAAAATCTTTAGTCTTTATACTCTAATAGAGTTCATTTGTTATAAATAATGATAAATGAAATTAAAATTTAAAATTAATAATATGATTTTAATCATATTATTTAAAATATTAAAAGATAAAATTTATATCATTTAATAATTAACTTTTTCATCAATCAATTTAATGATATGATACATGTCACATCATTAATCTTAAACTTTTCTCATTATTATTACTCATTTACTATACATGTACAACAAAAAGTCTCATAAATAAATAAATAATATTTTATAGTTCAAATTACATTTAATTATAAAATATTTAATTTAATTAAGAGAAGTTCCTAAAATTGGGAGAGGGCCCTTCCATCCAAAGATTGCTGAACAACGACTCCATGCTGAAAATAGCTTGATGAACTCTCTCTCTTATTTTAGGGTTTGGCGTTAGGACAAAGAAATAATTTGGCGAACAACTTTTCCTTAACTTTTATCCAAAAAAAAAAAACTACAACTCATGTCTGTAGAATCCGATACGCTTCCTCCATGAATTGATCAAATGTGGAATTGGAAGGACTTATCAAAAAAGAATGTAATAAAAAAAGCAACGGGGGAAAGTGCTTACTTAAAAAGATTTTAAAGTCCAACCTGAAAGTTACGGCTCCTTTAAAATATGGCAGGATTCATCCATCAATCATTGGCACCTTTGATTGACAAATATATTCATCCATCTTTAGCATTTTTCAAAGCTTACACTCACGAGTCGCGCTATCTGATGTAACAAATGGTAGAAAGTGGAGGTAAGAAAAAGAAGAAGGCGACGGGGAGAATCTACAGTCATTATCTACCAGGGAAGAAAAATGATGGACCAAAAACCCAACTTAATGTGAGAGTGATGGGCACTATTCTTGATGGTTAGTGGGTGAGAGGAAGGAAGAGTAATGGTGGTTAAAGTTATAATCATATAAAAATATTGTAAATGTATTTGATTTAATTGTAAAAAGTAATTAATAGTTATAATTGTTAATTGATAATTTATATTACAGTTAATATTTATTATTTAATAATTTAAAATCAATTTATATACTCATCCAAACACTCTAATTGGTCTACTCAAATTAAACAAACTTATATATTTGTTACTTTATAACCATAACCAATGATGGTTTGTTATATAAGGGCCAACCCCAAGAGGTAGTTAGGTGGGTTTGATAGAGCCATTAGCCCTAGCTAGGACCACGTTCCCCATATGGGTTCGTTACCCACAAATATTCATGGTGTGTAGTTGGCAAGCAACTACTTCTAAATCTTTCCATGATTACCATACACCTCACATCAACATTTTACATATTCTATGATATATGAGACAATATGATTACACTTTTTTTTGAATTATGTTTTTTTCTTATTTGTCACGTTTTATTGAATTATGCTTTTTTATACTTTGTCACGCTTTATCTTTTGGACATATGCGCCTACATAAGTACACATATGCATAGATATTTGACATTAATAGGTAGGGGTTTTCATAAATTTTTGGTTGAACATTTCATTCAATTGATCAAATGTACATGGTACACTAGCCATGTGAAACACTTAGTGATGGGTCAGTGTCACTAGTTTTGATATGGTGTACTATAGCATCATAGAAGGGGCTACCCAAGGACACTGTGAAAAGTAACATACTCGTTCATCAATAGTATTAGTAGTGAATTTAATCATGGAGACAAACACATGGGAATAAAATTTCCTATTTTTTTCCCCTGATTCAAAGAAAATATTGCTTTCAGTAAAGACAAATGGGAAGAGATAAAGTTAGATAGAACGGGGGAATAATTAAAGTATAGAGACTACTTGTTGTTAAGTAGCTGTAGCCCCATTTCAATGGGGAAAGCATTGGGTACCCTGCTAATTGCTGAAGAGCTTTGTCCAACTCAAAGAGGGCAGAATTTTTTTTTTTTTTTTTTAATTTCTTCCTAAGCCATTTTGGTGGTGCACAGTCCATCATATGATTCATTGACATTTTGATCCGTCTCTTTCGTCACCTTCTGTTCCAGCATTACATGTTACCTTTACAGACTCCATTTATTCCGAACTCTATCAAATTCAACATTTTCCAATCCTGCTTTGATGTTAATCTTTAGCAACAATTCGTTTTGTGAGTCTCATGGTTTTATTCTTAATGGGAAAGAATTCAACTGGTAAGTCACAACATGTCGGATGCACAGAAATGATGGCGGAACAACAATGAATTGAAATGAAGAGAACATTGCATCTATGCATGTGTACAGATATTTGTTTGTTTCCCTAGAAAATAGTTTTGACATTATCAATAGAGGGTTTTTAGGGAGAAAATTCATGCTATAAAACAAAGTTCACAACAAAATCAGAATTCCAAAACTTGTTTTCTGAAGTTTCAACCATTCACCATAGGACATCACACTGACAAAGACACAAACATATAACAACAAAAATGCAGCTTGTGGTGGTCCTCCGGTACTTTTTTGCTTCTTTCAACTTTTTTCACACTTCTCTTCATTCACCTTCATGATCACTTCAAGTCCCACAAACTTTGCTTCAGCATTAATTCCATCACCAACCCACCATTATATTACCTCCCTCCTCCTACAATGGATGCAAGAGGCCTTCAGAGAACGAGTGCTTCGAAAGAGAAGATGAACCGGGGTTTCATTGCTCAGGATGATATAGACAATGACATGATGGAGGAAGAAGAAGAGGGTTTTGGCGGTAATGATGGTTTTGCAGATGATGAGAGGAAGAGGAAAGTTAATGGGAAGAGAGGGCCTGGTGGTGGGGTGCTGCCACCTTCTTGTCAGGTGGAGAGATGTGGCGTGGATTTGACTGATGCAAAGCGATACCACAGGCGACACAAGGTGTGTGAGGTTCATGCAAAGGCGCCGGTTGTGATTGTTGCAGGACTTAGGCAGAGGTTTTGTCAGCAATGCAGCAGGTTTTCGTTTTTGCTTCCTTCTTCTTTGTTTAGCATTGTGGCAGTTCTTTAAATTGAACCCTGCTCTCAATTAATGCTTTATGTTTCCCAGTTCCAATTTCTCTTGTTTTCGGTTTTAGTTTCACCATGCCTTAGAATGCACAGGTTCCATGAGCTCTCTGAGTTCGATGAAGCTAAGAGGAGTTGTCGAAGCCGTCTGGCTGGACACAATGAGAGGCGTAGGAAGTCAGCTGAAACCTCCGCAGAAGGCTCAAGCAGGAGAGGGATGAGTGCCCAGGTGAAGGAAAGCCAATGCTGGCAAGCCGATGACAGGTCCAGGCTACCAATGGCAGTAACAGGGAATCCTGCTTTTAAGCGTTCCCAGTACCAATAAAAGATCAAATTATATGCTGTCCAGCCGGCCTGCTCCCTCTCTTCTGTCATCCTTTCAGCTCCTTCACTACTTCCATCACATATATGTAGTAAATAAGTTGCCACCAGTATCGGTATTCTGGCTTTCCGCCTGACGAAGAGCTATGGTCTCGTAATATATCAATGCTTTCACCAAAGCAATATGTAGCTTTTGGTTACTACCTTCATCTGAAGGCAATGAGAACGATGGTCTCGTGATGCATGGGTGTGTTTGCACATTTAGCAGGGAATCAGGATGCACTGGTTTAAATCTCTCGTTAAATCAGAAATTTTCCAACAAAATTTTCTTCAAATCAGATAGCTAAAAGACTTCAATTTGAAGTAAAAATAAGCATAATGTTTCATTAATACATCAAAGGTACTTGCACGTCACTTAAAAGCTAACAAACAAAAGTACAAGATAACTGCCCTTTTAAATCACTAAAATCTCACAACCACAATAGAAATGTCATCTGAGCTCTTCCTATTAAGTGCTTCTTCAGTAAGGTGCTTGGCTGCAGAGCGAGCATCCTTAATGTTCTGGATGGCATCTGTTGCTTCTTGGTTTGACATCACCTGGAATTAGTTTGGATAGAGAAATCATGGTGAGAGTCCAATCCAATGTGCAGTTATGGAGAGAGAGCAATCCAATATGAGATTATAAGTTGAGATAACATCTAACCTTCCATAATCCATCACTTGCCAAAATTATAAACTGTGTGTCATCATCTATCATCTCCACTGTAACGTCAGGCTCTGAACTAAGATGTTCCTTCAAGCTCTTGTCACCAAATGCCCTTGCCACTGCCAACTGCCCATCGACACGAGAAACATCTCCTGAGTTCACAAAAAAAGTTGCAGTTTTAACGATGATATACGTGAGAAGAGTAGCAATTAAAAGGCCAATATAGGCCGTTTGGAATTAAAAACAATAAAAAACCACTCATATATTCTACAAGTATTCAAAAGAATAGCAGCTGCTATCTTAAATGTTGCCCTTTACCTGGAAATTTTGACACAAAACCGCCTCTGCTTTCAATTTCCTCCCTTTCCATGCTGGGTTCGTGATCAATAGACAATTGTTTAGCCTTTCCATTCTTACAGATGACAGCACGAGAATCACCAACATTTGCTACCACTAGCTTCTGACAGTTGATTAATATCGCTGTGACAGCAGTTGAACCCCCTTTACCAAAATCAACTGCTTGATCCAGTATAGTTGTGTCTGTTACGCGATATGCCCTCTTGATTGCCTTCTCTGGTTCTGTCCAGAAGTCAGGCTGCTTAAGGAAGAGAGAAATAAGGACCAAAAAAAAAAAAAAATTCTCCTTGAATGAGCAGGCTTTTGATAAGAACTAGTTAGAAAACAAAATCAACACAAATTCTTTTAATGAATGACAGCAATGATGAAACACGAATATCTCTGAGACTTCTTACCTCTAAGAACAAGTTGAACGAAAAAAAAAAAAAAGTGCAAAAGACTGAACAGCAGAATAAATGTAGGGGCTTATTTGAATAGGATGTGACACACAAATAACGTACATTACCTCATTCAAGATATTTTCAAACAAATGATTCTTTAAATAATCAGGAATAACATGGCTTAGATGACCATCAAATATTGCAAATAAACCAAGCTCATTGTCATCGACTTGTTTAAAGTCTGCCACAACATAATCTTCCATGGCATGATGTGATCTTCCTTTCACTAGATGATAACCATGTGTTATGTTCTTTGACATCTTACTCTTGCCCTTTCCAGAATCAGTATCAGAAGAGCCTAATCCCACTTTTTCCTGCAGCAAACATATTAGTGTGCAAATTCAATTAAAACACTTAACTGTGATTTACTGTTCATTAGATATGGGACAGCTAAGAAAAACCGGTGACAGAAATCTATTATTAGCTACAAGTGGTCATTGAGCAGAAGTTGAGAGACATAATAGATAGAAGCCTGTCGAGAGAGCTAGTGACAAATCTACTCTCTCTTCATGGCTGTGGTATGATGTCTACCACATTCATCTTATAAATTTGACTTTTATGCTAGGGCCAGTGAGTGACCATATAATTTTATTAAGAATAATCAAATTCTGATCCACATTGAAAGCGCTTTTTCACTTTGTTCATACCTTTAATCTAACAATAGTTTGTCACATACTCTTGGTTTTTGTTGAATTACACTGATAAAAAATACAATGAAGCAAGAAAAGCAGTTTCCTAAGAACAAAACTACTGCTTAAATAAACATCAAATTCAAGCTTCCAACTTGAAGGAAATGAAAAACATAATATATGATTGAAATAGCCCATTCAACATTTCATACAACTTGAACAAATCACTCATAAGTAAATTGAGCAATAAAGAAGAGAAGCTATGAGCAATTAAGTACGAACCAGAGCAACAAGAGAAATGTTATAATTTTTGGGGATCACAAGGATTCATTCAATAAGATTAGTTCTTCCAAATCTCTGTCTACTTTTATTACCCATCACTTTGACCTAAGTCAGAATAGGATGATATGCTGCTAAATACCTTCTTGGCTAGGGAGTTAAACAATGTAAAAGCTAAAACTTTTTTCCCAATGTAAAATATTATATTCATGGAGAGAGGCAGTCTCTTAAAGATGCTTCTGAATCCTGATGATCCTTAAGAAAAAGCGCAATTCAACATAAAAAGGAATCAACTTTCTATCATATTGCACAATAAGAATACCAGTGTGTTCTAGGTCAAAGTCTGTCACACATGGTGAACAGTACAAGATAACCCCATATGTAAATACAGTCTCAAATCCTAGAAGAAACCTACAGATCATGAATCAAGCACATCACAGATTACCCACCATGGCCAAAGCTAAGAAGGTTAAGGTAAAGGCCACTGATTTCAGGTCCAGAAATCATCAGTGCCGGTGACCCACATAACAAATTGAGAACTTGCGCAAGAAAACACAAAAGGGTCTGTAAATCGTACCCAAAATTTGAGAAAAAAAAATAAAACAAGATAAAATTAGTTAAACGTACCTTCATCTTATTGAGGATTTCTTTGCCGGCCATGGCTGTCGTGGGGGCTAAGCCTCGTATGTATATAAAAACTAATTGTGTGGTGATGGACACGGTGGCCGAGAGAGAGGCAGAAAAGGGGAGGAGAAGCAGTAAGGCAGCGCAAGGGAGAGAGACAAGTGTATGCTGAAGCGTATGTATATCCTCCTACTGCTGACACGCCGCGTATTCCGCCTCGTGCCATGACGCGTTCGGGCCACTCCTTTTCAACTACCGTTCTTTCTTTTCTTGTAGTAATTTGTAATTTTTTATTATATAGTAAAGATAGGGCTTGAGATTTTTTTTTTTTTAATAATTTGACATTATTTACAAATATATACGAGGATGAGGAAAATGAGTTTTATAAGAGTCGAATACGTTACTTATGGAGATGAACAGCTCTAAGTTAAGGTACAATACCATTAGACCGAAACAGGCCATTTAGGGCTTGAGATTATTTAAGACATAAACCCTCACCGTAAAACATTTCCAAATTTATTATGAGCTTTATCAAAGAGTGTCATTAAAGGAAGTTACCCAAAAAAATATTAAAAAAAAAAAAAAAAAAACTGTGTAACAAGTCTCTCCCTTGTCTCCTTTCTCTTGTGAAGCTTCTTTTTTAACTTTTTATTTTTTTGGTCATTAGATCCTAAAGCATATGATTGTTGTGGCTTGATATGATAGGGCAATTAACGGGAGGGAATTGGTAATAGCCTAAGTATTTGTTATCACCA